GCCGATTCGAATGCGAGTGCGAGTGGCCAATTTGGGAGAGTGAATATTTTGCTTTGACTTTAAGGGTAGCTATACAAAAACACTCGGATACATATGGATACCAACTATTTTGACGGTGAGTTGATGTCAGTGACACAGTCAAAATACGAAGCTCAAGAACCCAATTCCGAACCCGAATCCGAAACCGAATCCGAATCCGAATCCAAATCCAAATCCAAGCTTTCTGAGTGGGCTCGGCAAATGAAATATATAGGGGAAATCTTCCTGAGATGAGCGAGCATTTCGCGGAGCAACCACAACACGCTGCATTTAGATTAGTTTAGTTTAGTTCGTTTACGGTCTTGTCCGAATTGAGATCGTCTTGCAGGCACCGTCTTGGGAAAATCGAGAGGCGCGATCGAAACAAAACAAATCAAATTAATGGTACCCACTCGTAAGTTATGCAAGGGCAAATAAATTACAAAAATTATACCGAACTGTGTGTGAAAGCAGCGAAGAAAGTTCAAGGGGCGAAGTTGTGGAAAAAGTTGCTATTCAAATACTTATCAAGAACAGCGCAATCAAGATAAAGTTCAAGTGATAAGCTGCGCATAAATTTAAATATGCTAAGTGAATTGTGGCGACACATAAGCTCCGCACACACACTCACATGGGGGTACACATTAAATAATAGAGCACAGGTTGGGGATCTCGACAGATTCGGCGGGGGTGTGAAGAAAATCCCATTCGCGACTGACTGACAGACTGACTGACTGACTGACTGACTGACTGACAACAATAAACGAATTCGCTCTCCAGCTCGCTGACTAAACTAATTTGGCGCTCGGCAAAAGATAGCAAAAGTAACTAAGCACACCACATTGATCCCGTCTCTAATCCAAAACAAAAACAATGAGCACGCACATCTGGTGTTTAACCAGGGGTTGGTATACAACTTGCAGTTCCTTGGAACCCACCGCATCACTGGCGCTTTAAGATAGGTGCCATCCGCTGCACATCCTCCGTCTGGAGCCGCCTTATAGCGCCCTTTAGCTGTCTATTTTATTATTTTACCACCCGAAATCAACCTGCAAACAAATTGTAAATTTTACAGACGTCCACAGAAGCAGCATGAGCGGACATCAACGTGCCCCACGAACCCGCCAAGATTAGCTTTATGTCCCACGAAAAGTGATAGGCCGGGACCGAGATAACATTTTGATAAAATATTTGCAGCAAACTGTCGGATCGCGCTATCTGTGGCCAAATCTTTCGAGCGTCTATCTGTATCTGGCTGTCCGTCGATACAGTTAAGATCAGCGGCTCCGGAGCCACATGATGCCACTCGATCCGCTTCCATCCACGTGCCAGGTTGTCTTTTAGATCTCCGGATACTCCCACGAAGCCAGCTAATTGCCGCGAAAGATCTGGCGAAAATTAAAAATAACTTGTATTCCGAGAGACTCTGCTGCAGTACTAGTGTGTGTGTGGTGTGTGGTGCGTGTGTGTGAGTTCGGTACCTGAAACCGGAAGAAACCAATGTGCCAAGTGCGATCGCAATCCGAGTCGATCCGCAACTAGTATGGTGCAGGGCGAGAATCCCAGCAGCCTGGGAGCCGAGAGACTGGACAGGAACCACGAGGGCCAGGAGACCCGAGACGATTCCGACGTCGAGTCCAGGCTTCTGGACAATGGAAAGGCCTACGACAGGGAAACGGACGCGGGAATCAACCTGGACGGCGGAGGGACCGCTCCGAAGACCGGAAAATCCAAAAAGAAGAAACAGAAATCGGAGCAGGACCGCCTCATGACCGCGGAAATCAACAAGCTGCTGGCGGAATCCCCGCTGGAGAAAAATGTTACCTGTGGCTTCTGGATATTCAAGGGCACTTTCTACCAGAGGTGAGATCTTAGATCTAGAATACACAACATTATCATGGATTCATTTGTAACCCTGTTGTAGATTTGCCAATCAAACTGCATACGTTTTACTTTACGGAATCGTGGGCTGCATCTTTTCAATGACTTATGCCTACTTCAATGGCACGATCACCACAATAGAGAAGCGCTTTAAGATACCTTCGAAGAATACGGGTATTATCTCGGTGGGAAATGACATAAGCCAGACCTTGGTGTCGGCGGTTTTGGCCTACTACGCGGGAAAGGGCCATCGGCCGAGATGGATTGGTTTTGGTAAGATATATATGTTACTCGGCTTAATAATCAGGTTTAATTTTACTTTTATAACTGTGCAGGTCTTCTCACCATCGTCTTCTTCTGCATCCTGACCACCGCACCGCACTTCCTCTACGGCCCCGGCGAAGATGCACTGGCTCTGACCTCGGAGTTTGGCGGCGTGCCCGATGAAAATTCCACCATGGATGCCATCGAGGAGCAGCGCTCCAAGACCCTCTGCCGCCTGAGTGGCGGTGGAGCGGAGTGCGAGGTGGGCGAGGGAAACTTTGCCCCCCAACTGCTGCTCTTTGTGGCGCAGTTCATATCTGGCATTGGCGGATCCCTTTACTACACCTTGGGAGTGTCCTACATGGACGATAACACTAAGAAGTCCAAGACACCGGCTTTGCTGAGTGAGTAGCTCTAAACCAGTTCTAACCAACCGGAACAAAAAGATACAAGCTGTGCTCGGACGAACTTTTAGGTTTATCTAAGCAATATCTAAACGGTTTTGCCTCCGAGTGTTTACTCTGTTTTTTTCCCAACTATCTGGAGAAGTGGCGAGTATTTTTTAGGCTGATAAAGAGGCCTATGAATTGTCAATGAAGTGTGAGGCATAGTAGAACGTATCGAACGCACATGTAACATATAGATGTAACATATTTACGATACTTACTTCTTAGATACTTTTTCTATAACACTGTGTACATATCTCCACACAGACTTGCTTACTTTAATAGAGTTGTATGCTTAACATGTTCTTACAGACTTTGTAAAAATATTTTATAAGCGAGTAGACAAATGATGAGCACACAGTATTCCTAACCCAAAAGATACGGCTATCTCTAAGATAATCACATATGAACATAGCTGCAGAATAGGCTGCAATCTTCATGCAATATTGCTTACATATACTTTAAGGTCTCTCGTACTTTCTGCGAATGCTGGGTCCTGCCATTGGATATGCCCTGGCCTCCTTCTGCCTGCGCCTGTACATCGCACCGCAGATGCATCCGGTGATCAACAACAAGGATCCCCGCTGGCTGGGCGCCTGGTGGCTGGGCTGGCTGGTGATGGGCGGCCTGCTCTCCTTCTCCGGCGTCTTTCTCTCCATGTTTCCCAAGGAACTGCCCAGGGCAGTGGCCCGCCGGAAGGTGGAGGAGAATCGCCGGCGGGAAAAGGAGCGACTGTCGGTGAAGCGTACGGAGAAGGAACGCCTAACTGCGGAGCTGGATCAGAAGAGTCCGGCGGAGGCGAAGGCCTCCTTCCAGGACATGCTGAAGACCTTCCGCCGCCTGATCACCAACAAGACCTACATGTGCAACACACTCTCGAGCATTTTCTACCTGGTGGGCTATACGCCGTACTGGATATTCACGCCCAAGTACATTGAGGTTCAGTATCGCCAGTCGGCGGCCACGTCATCCATGGTCACCGGCACAGTGGCCCTGGCCTTCTCCGCCGTAGGAGTGCTCCTCTCCGGCTTCATCATCTCCCGCTACAAGCCAAGGGCCCGCTATATGGCCGCTTGGAACGTGATCGTGGGCTTCCTCACGGTTGCCGGAATCCTGGCCTACGCGTTCATCGGATGTCCGGGAAACGAGAGTTCCGTGATCGTCAATATTCACGACAGCTCCCTGGCGGGCAACACCACCACCTGCAACTCGGACTGCTCCTGCGACTACGTCCGGTATTCGCCAGTTTGCGGGGAGAACAACATGACCTACATCTCCGCCTGCCATGCTGGGTGCAAGAAGTTGCTCGTCAACTCTGAAGGCAAAAAGGTAAGTGATTGGTGTTCTTGGAAAGCTTTTGGAAGAATGTAGCAGGCAATTCCTGTGGCAGGTCTTCTACGATTGCTCCTGCATTCCCAGCGATGGAACTGGTAACTCCACGACCCAATTCAAGCGCCTCACCATCTTCGATTTGAGTAACGATGAGCTCAGCCAGAACACCTCTAGCCAGAGCCAGTTGGAGGCTCTGGCGAATGGTCAGGCGAAGCCCGGTGCATGTCCCGTGAACTGTTGGACGCAATTTGTGGCCTTCTTGGCCGTGATGTGTTGCCTGAAGTTCGTGGGAGCCAGCGGCAGGGCGTCCAACTTCCTGGTCTCCGTGCGCTGTGTGCCGGAGAAGGACAAGACGGCGGCCATGGGATTCGGAATGACCCTGTGCTCGATGCTGGCCTTCATTCCCAGTCCCATATTCTTCGGCTGGGTCTTCGATAGGGTCTGTTTGGTGTGGGGTAAGACCTGCACAAACAAGGGCAACTGCTGGCTCTACGATCCGCTTTCCATGAGGTGAGCTCCCCATAAAGTTCCCAAATATCCATCTGCAAAACGTCTTTCTCTTCAGGTACACACTAAACTTCACCGCAGCTGTCTTTATTGCCATTGGCGCCGTTTTCGATCTGGGGGTCTGGTACTACGCCAAGGATCTGAAAATCTTCGACGAGGACGTCAAGGAGGTGGAGCTGAAGATCGTCCAGCACGAGGAGGAGGCCAGCAACGAGAAGAATACAGAGATTTAGTCCTAAGTTATTATTACTCCTAAGTGCTGTGTGAGTGAGAGTCTTGGTGCCTTGATTTGTCAACATCCATGTGTGATTTGCAACGTAGAGTCCAGTACCATAATAAACGGTATTGCAACAGTAGAGCTGTGTGTACACATATGGTAATTGCTGACAATTAAACACTAGATCCCGATTAGTAAGATAAAACTCAGACGGACTTAATAGCGAACACGAAGGTCGCGTTCATTATCTGAAAGCTTATTTTATTAAGCCCAAGATGCAAGTTAATTGTATGCAGCTTGCCGCTTGTTGCGGATTCAGTTTTTGATAGCAGCTCGACAGGGAACGACCAAGATGGCCACTGAAGCGATCGAAACCAGCACGTTTCTGAAGGACAAAGCAGCCGAGAAGAGGCGGAATTCTGCGGATACCACATGTGGCTTCTCTATTTTCAGGGGCCCCGCCCTGCAGAGGTACATCATACAGCGCACTTTCGAGTTTTTATAATGCCTCCTGGATGTGTAGATTTGCGACTGCTCACATGTTCGTGATTGTGTACGGGATAGCTGGCTGCTTTCTGGCCATGGCCTTCAGCTACTTCACCGGAACCATCACGACGATGGAGAAGCGCTTTAGTATACCCACCAAGATATCGGGCCTCATTACGGTGGGCAATGATATAGGCACTGTTTTGTCGTCGGCCCTTCTGAGTTACTACGCGAGTCGAGGACATCGCCCGCGCTGGGTGGCATTGGGTAACACGCCTCAAACCGTCGATCCTGCTGCAGCTAGTCAATCCCTTGCGCTGTTTTAGGCCTCGTCATTATAGCCATTTTCTGCCTCCTCATGTGGATCCCTCACTTCTTCTACGGGCCCGGCGATGAAGCCCTGCGGCTGACAGAAGGATACGGCATGCCCGAATCCTTTGCTGCTTCCCTAAACACGAGCATCACCGACAAGGACGACTCACTGTGCCATGAGAGGGAATCGAGTTGTATAGAAGAGGTTGGGGACTACACCCCCATAGTGCTGTTCTTCGTTGCCCAGTTTATAGGTGGAATCGGCTGTTCCCTCTTCTACGCGCCAGGTGTCTCCTACATGGACGACAACTCCCCGAGTGCCAAGATCCCAGCTATGATAAGTATGGGATGAAGTGGGTGTCCTCATTTCAGTCTCAATTCCATTGTATATTTCTTAAAGGCTGGAGCTCGTTTCTGCGTATGCTGGGACCTGCTATGGGCTTCTCCATGGTTTCCCTGTGCCTGCGGCTGTATATCGATCCATTCAAGAAGCCTCTGATCACCACAAACGATCCGCGCTGGATGGGCGCTTGGTGGCTGGGCTGGATTTTCCTCACCATCTTCCTGATGATGTCGGCAGTGTTTGTGGGCATGTTCCCCAAAGAAATGCCAACTGCCAAGGCCAGGCGCTTGAAAGCTGACGGCCATGAGGATATTCCGCTGGCGGAGCGCTCCTTTCAGGACATGCTGGACTCCCTGAAACGACTGGCCTCGAACAAGGTGTATGTGTACAACATAATGGGCTCGATTCTGTTCTGTTTCGGCTACATGCCGTACTGGATATTCACACCGAAATACATTGAGATCCAGTACAGACAGTCGGCATCAACTTCCACCTTGGTCACAGGAACCGTGGCGCTGGGATTCTCTGCCGCAGGAATTCTGATCTCTGGATATGTGATCTCCAAGTACAAGCCCAGTGCGCGGGCAATGGCTGCCTGGAACTTCGTGGTGGATTACTTGACAGTGGCTGGAATGCTGTTCTATGTGCTGGTGGGCTGCGACGACAGTGATCGGGCTAATTCCCTGTCCATCGTGCCCACCGGTGACAGCTGCAGTGCCTCATGTGACTGCGAGTACGTCTACTATGCTCCTGTGTGCAGTCCGGAAAATATCACCTTTATATCCCCCTGCCACGCGGGATGCACCGAGAAGGTCATCGATGCGCTGGGCAAGGCAATTTACACTGGTTGTCGGTGCATCGGCAACTTTTCCAGCCTGGCCTCTCTGCCCAATGTCACTTCTCTGGCGTCCCAGGCGCAGATCGCAATGGATGGAGCCTGTCCGGTGGACTGCGACAAGCAGTTCATCATCTTCCTGGCCATCATGTGCTTCCTTAAGTTCGTGGGCGCCACTGGGAGATCGAGTAATCTGCTCTTAACCCTGAGATGCGTGCCCTCAACGGATAAAACCTTCTCCTTGGGTTTCAGCAGCATGGTGTTCGCCGTGCTGACCTTCATTCCTAGTCCCATTATTTTTGGTTGGATGCTGGACAGCTATTGTCTTGTTTGGGGCAAGACCTGCAGCTCCAAGGGTAACTGCTGGATATACGACACAAAGTCGCTGAGGTGAGTACATCCCTAAGGGATAAGTGGACAAATAGTTAAGGCTGGCTATCCTGCAGATACACCATGAATCTCGTGAGCGCCTCTCTGGTTTTCTTGGGCAGCTTCTGGAATATTGGGATCTGGTATCATGCGAAGGACATGAAAGTCTTTGATGAAGAGGAAGAAGCTGTGCAGACCAAGCAGGTTGATGGAATAGAGCTCAAGGAAAAGCCCAGAGATGCTACCATTAGGAAATAAAAGCTTTGTTTGAAAATGTATTTTACCGTATTGTATTTACTGTATTTTATGTGTATTTTAGTTTTCGAAAAAGGTACGAAAGCAATCCCCGTCAATTAAAAGTTCTTAAAGTCTTATTTTGATACGTAGTATAGAAATTTCGCTTGTCGCTATCCCCACTGTCTAATCTGACAGACTTGATAAGATCTAAGGCAAACACATGAAGCTCAGTTGGGTATTGCGGAGCGATCTGATTAGGGTCGAGTCAGTTTGTTCGAGTTGTTCGGAGGTGAAAGTTGAGACATGACAGAGCAGCGGCGAAAGGAAACCCTGGAGACCAGTGAAACATTGCCCTTCATTGAAGAGCCATTTGCAATATCGGATAAAGCTGAGAAATCTGTTGCTGAAAATGAAACGGAAGGAGCAGATGATGGTAAAGACACTTACTGTGGTTTTTGGATATTCAAGGGCCCCTCGATGCAAAGGTGAAATCTATGGCATCCTCAATTGCCTCCATTCCTAAGAAACCCTTTCTCCAGATTGGCCACTGAGCAGATGTACGTCATTCTATATGGGCTAGCTGGCTGTGTGATGGCAATGACCTTTGCCTACTTTAATGCCACCATAACGACCTTGGAGAAGCGCTACAAAATACCCACAAAGGTGTCCGGAATTATCTCGGTGGGAAACGATATCAGTACCATGCTAACGGCTGCAATGCTGGGCTATTATGCCGGCCATAGGCATCGACCCCGCTGGATGGGAATAGGTGAGTCGAGATCTGTGTCACGTGAGTCCCAATACACAAGATGGTGTCCCATTTAGGGTTCCTGACCATGGTGGCCTTTTGCCTGCTCACGAGCTCCCTGCATTTTCTTTACGGAGCTGGCGAGGATGCCCTCAAGTTAACCCGAGAATTCGGGCAGGTCAATGAAACTTTGGCCACGCAGGAGCGTGATAAGAAGTTGTGCCAGCCAACTGCAGGAGGATGTGTCCAGGAGGAGCTGGGTCAGTGGGTGCCCCAAGCCTTTCTGTTTGCCGCCCAACTAATCTCGGGAGTGGGTCAGGCACTCTTCTATACCCTGGGCATAGCCTACATGGACGACAATGCCAGCAAGTCCAGGACCCCAGCCATGCTGAGTAAGTAAAGCACTGTACGAGTGTTTGTAAAGGTATCCAATACTTGAACTTCACTAGGCATGTCCACCTTCTTGAGGATGCTGGGTCCAGTTATTGGTTACTCATTAGCTGCGCTTTGCCTGCGCCTGTACATTGAACCTACATTGGAGCCGCTGATCGGGCGGGATGATCCCCGCTGGTTGGGCGCCTGGTGGCTGGGCTGGCTGGTCCTGGCTGGAATGACCTTGGTCTCGGCCATTCTGCTGTTCATGTTCCCCAAGGAGCTGCCCAGTTCGAGGAAGAGACGCCTTCAACTGAAGCAGACTGAACGGAGGCAGTCACTGCCCCTGAATGAGCGATCCTTTGGTGACATGATGCAGACAGTCAGGAAACTCACGAAAAACAAGGTGTATGTCTACAACACAATGGCATCCATACTCTACTTCTTTGGCTACATGGCCTACTGGATATTCACTCCCAAGTACATCGAAACCCAGTATAGACAATCGGCGGCCATGGCGACCATGGCCACGGGAACAGTGGCTCTGGGATTCTCTGCCGCGGGAGTCCTCATCTCGGGATACGCGATCTCCAAGTACAAGCCGAGTGCCAGGGCCATGGCCGCCTGGAATGCCATTGTGGACTTTGTGACGGTGGCCGGCATCCTGTGCTATGTTGCAATCGGATGTGAAGGAAGCGACAGGCTGAATAGCCTGACCACCCTGTCCACCGGGAACAGCTGCAGTGCCTCCTGTCACTGCGACTACGTGCACTATGCTCCCGTTTGCAGTCCGGACAACATCACCTTCATCTCGGCCTGCCATGCGGGATGTTCGAAAAGGACGCAGGATGCACTGGGAAGGACCATTTACACAGGGTGCCTGTGCCTGGGCTCCACAAGCTTGCCCCCTGAAGCAGAGGTGGCTGGATCACTCTGGTCATTGGCTATTCCTTTTATATAATTCCTTATTTTCAGTCCCAGTTTGCTGTGGATGGAACCTGTCCAGTCGACTGCTTTAATGAGTTCCTTATCTTTGTGGCTGTAATGTGCTTCCTGAAACTGGTGGGCGCCTCTAGTAAATCGACGAACCTGCTCATCGCCCTGCGTTGCATGCCTCCGGAGCAGAAGACCTTCGCCCTGGGATTGGGTTCCATGGTGGCTGCTCTGCTGAGCTTCATCCCCAGTCCGGTATTCTTCGGTTGGCTGATAGACAACTACTGTTTGGTGTGGGGCAAGACCTGCTCCAACAAGGGAAACTGCTGGCTCTATGACACGAAATCCTTGAGGTGAGTCCTCATATTGGCTCAAATCTAAAACTTAGTAATCCTGTTTTCATTTCAGATATGCCTTAAATCTTTCGGCCGCATTTTTTATACTTCTAGGCGGTTTCCTGAATATTGCAGTGTGGTATCATGTCAAGGATCTTAAGATTTTTGATGATGAAGAGTCAGCTAAGGACAGTTTAAAGGACACGGAGGTTGAAATGAAAACCATTGATTCAAGTCCACAGGAGAACTAAAATGTAACTATTTGTTAAGCTAAATAAACGAGCTTTGAGTGGAGCTTCAATTTTTCACAGTTTTCTATGTCATTTCAAAATTACTCCTGTTCCGGCTAAAAAAAATCGTTGGCCTTCAAAATGTCCGCTCCGGAGACTAGTTGTAGGCGGTGGATTCAAAAAAATTGGGTGGACGGCCCATGCAGGAAGTGCTTTGAGTCCACCTGCGGACCATGCATCGACTACAGGATATCAGCGCCTACAGCAGCGGACGATGTTGCGCCCCAGGCGGATGTTGTTAAGGCGGTCATTGAGCCGGACGGACCTGTGCGCCAGGAGATCAACATCCGGGCGGAGTGCAGCAAGGGACGTCCGCTCCTCGAGTCCGACAAGGACAAGCTGCGATGCTGCACCATGTGCGTGGCCCAGGAGCAGAATCTGCACCCTAATCTTTGCTCGGCGCAATGCCGGCCGCTTAAAACCTATTTGCACCTGAATGAGGTATGTAACCATTCAAGGGTAACAATTTCCGACTAAAAACTCCCATCCCACAGTGGACCAAGCGACCACTTCCCAAGCCCACATATAAACATTCGGTTATCCTGGACAATAACACCATGGTAGGTCGCTGCTTCCCCATGAAATTCCAGCTGAGACGTATGAAAAAGAATTGCCTGGACTGCGGAAATGAGCTCTACTACCGGTATCCCATCACAAACAACAGCGACCTGCTGCTGATCAAGAACTGCTGCGAAGTGGAGGTCTACCCCGCCATGAAGGTGGACAACATGAACAACGTGAGGGTGACCAAGATATCGGGAGCGAAGAAGTTCGCCAACAGTGTGCTAAAGGAGCACTCCGAGTGTCGGTTGTTCACCCTGGCCAGCCAAGTTGCGAAGGAGAAGCCACCTTTGCCGCAGGATGCTAGGATGAGTACCAGAAAGAGCCGGAAGAGCCGAAAGAGCCGGAGGAGCACCAGAAAGAGTTCCGTGGGCGGCAAGAAAAAGAAGGGTTCAAAGTGATAGCAACAACATCGAAAACTGACTAAGCACATCCGATCTGAACACCATCGAAATCGAGAGGGATGAGTTTGAATATAGCCCGTACACTCACTCAATAAAAGCCACATAGTAAGCCTTAGTAAATAAGAATCGGAAAATTAGAAATAAACTCGACTCAAAAGCAAGTCAAACAAACACTCAAGCTTGAGTGAAAGCTTAGCTTAAAAACACTCAGTCCAAGCTTGGTATGGGCTTCTGCAGAGCTTTAAGCACGGGGTCCCATTCGCAAGCTTAAAGCCCACAGTCCAATCAAAAAGTGAGCTGAATAGTGTAGTTGTATATCTAGTGTAAATTTAATTCAAATTCAGTCGCATAAGCATACATACATAGCGTAATCCTAGAATATAATTTATGATTCAGCTTACAACTTTAATCGAGAATCGAGTGAGAATCAAAAGGAACGGGTTCGGGGACGGGGAGTATCTAGCTTCGTTATTAATCAAGACTTTTGCGTTCGATTGATGTGCTGCGCTTAGCTACGAGATACAGATTGCGAATACTTGATGCTGCTTACGCGGGGCTAATACAAGATTTAAAACTTAGGATCTAACCGATGAGCCGATCTGTTTAGGCGGTCTTTGATCTATAATTGCTTCACTTGCGGCGCTATACATTTAGAATTCTTTCTGTTTCTGCATTTCATCGGGTCGTTTGGGCTAGTTTTTGGAAAACTGTTGGAACACTTGGCCACTGAAATGCGTCTGGTTTGTCAGTTAGTCAGTTGCTAGATTTAAATTTAATTTTATAGTTATGGTATAGCTACCGGTATCGCTATGGCTAGGGCTTTAGCTATAGCTACTGTATATCGTTAACATTCTGCGCAAGGCGTTGTATTGCAGTTACACCGATCATTTTGAGTGATTTCGAATGTCACAACTATAGTTATTATACTTCGAGTAGTCGACTATGCTCTATGCTACGTTATCTAGTCTATATGCACTTGATTATTAGTTTAATTTAAAAATTAGCTACATGTCGTTGGGCCTACTGCTAGATGGATACATGTAAATATGTGTATAATTTAATTTAAATAAGCGTCTCTATACTGTCGCGTCACGTCGACCTGTCAGCAGTCAATCAAAGGGTTTTTGTGCTAAACAAGACCGGCTGTCCGTTCTGGTGGCCGTGGAAGCTCGACGGAAGCCTATGCGTCCACTGGGAAGAAGTCTTTCAGTAGCGTGGTGCGGCGCTTTTCAGCGATGTCCATTTGATTCTCGAGATCACCCAGGTCCGTTGTCTCGGCGCGCTCTATCTTCCACGACAAGTTCTCGATCTCGGCCTCCAGTTGTGCCTGCAAGGAATTATCATTTTATTGGGCAAGCAATTGAAGAATAGCCACGCTGCGACTCACCTGCTGGTACTCAAAGAGATTCTTCCGCGAACCGGCCTCCATGTAGTAGGCGTACGGATAGGTGTACTGCAGCGTGTATCGACACTTGGCCAGCAGTGCCGCCGCGTTGAAGAGGTATTGCCAGTCGATCCAGGTGCCGCTGCCGTTCATCACCTTCGAGTTGATCCGCTGGCGCAGCCGGTCGATCGTCTGCTGCTCGAGTTTCAGGGACTTGGAGTGGTTCTCCCAGCGCTCGTAGTAGTGTAGGTACTTCTTCAGCGCCTCGCGCGCCTGCACATGCACCGACTCGTTGGCAATGTTGGGGTTGTCCTTGTAGCGGGAGCACTCGTAGTACTCTGAGCCGTGCGTCTTCCAGTCGCCCAGGCACATCCAGCAGAAGTCGTGCTTGCAGTTGAAGCACTGCATGTGGTTGCAGCCGCCGTTCTTCTCGATGCAGATGTGACACTTGGGGCAGTCTTTGGTGTGGGCGCTGATGTAGTTGGCCGTTTCGCTGTCGTCGGCGCACTTGGTCAGCCACTTCTTGATCACCTGGCAGTCGGTGGGCGCGTGGTAGTCCATGCCGCACCGGAAGCAGAAGCCCGTGTGGCAAGCCTTGCAAATGGCACGTTTGGCGGAGATCTCCGATGATTGCACTATTATCTGGCAGTTGGGCCCGGGGCAGAAGCGCAGTTCCGGGTGTGATTTCACGTAATCCTTGAACGCAAATTGCTGGTACTTGTCCCGCATCACGGGTCGTGTGACCAGCGTCAGCACCAAGTCCTCGGGCACTCTAACATTGCACATCTGCGCCATGCAGCCGATCTGCGTGGAGATTCCCTGGAAGATCTGCGTCTCGAAGTATATGGTCCAGCAGTCCTTGCAAAACGAGTGCCCACACGCCAGGCTGTAGAACTTATCCCCCAGCTGCGAGCTGGCACAAACGGGGCACATCTGGCTGCGGTACTGTGGCGCCGCCGATGCTGTCGTCTTGTACCCGCTGCTCCCCAGTCGCAGCAGTTGGGCACTGGCCGCCGCCGCTGCTGCACTCGTCGAAGCCGTGTCCGTCACAGCCACCGAAGGCGGCTTGATTCGCGCCGTCACCAGCAGCGCATTGGCGTCCTGGCGGTACTTCTCCGCTACGGCCACATTGTTCCACTGGTGCTCCAGCAGCAGCACCTTGGCCAGCGAGGGTGTGATCTGCAGGATGGTGTTCAGCTTCTCCACGCGTTCATTCAGCAGCTTCTCGATGTCCTCGACGGTTAGGCACTCGTACTCAAAGTACTCCGGGTCGGCCCGTTTCGGATCTAGGCGCTCTACGTCGCAGTCCTCGCCTGAAGAAGAATAGCATATCAGTGAGGATATAAATCCAAAGTAGTAATACAAGTAATAAAATATGAATAGATTCTATAACTTCTGTAAAGCATAAACTCTTTATGCTTAAGCCCCTTTTTTGGTGATTTAAGATATCTGATTGCATTTAAAACCCACATTAGACTTTGCTTACTTAACGTAGTGCATAACAGAGCAAGGGTGGATTTCTAACGAACCTTGAGTTAGCGTTGCAGTTACGTACAAACAGGCACTTTAATCCCTTACTGTGCAAAACTGGTTCCGGAGTTACAGAGGCTATGGATTTTTTTTTTTTTTTTGTAAGTTAAGTAATGGTAGATTTAAGTAGATTGGGAATGACGGCTTTTCATACCTACGAAACGCTATTAGCATTATTTTAATCCGAAATTTATGGATCAGAAGAGATTACAGTGCATGTGGCTGGTAATCACGTTGGCATTTTGTTAGTCACATTGGCTAATTTAAGAAAACAACCGCACGACAAGGCTGCCATAGAAATGCTCGACGTTGCGATGTTACCGATATGAGGTATCCGATTGAAGGTTGAGTTAGGGGGCGTCTTGGCCAGGTCGTAACAATAAGGGACAGGTCAAGAAGCGGAGACCGAGTTGACGGAACAGCGGCACACAACAGAATGCAACTGCGTACTTGAGCACGCACCTGAGATGGTGTGCGTGTGGTGTGTGTTGTGTGTGTGCTTGTGCTTGTGTGGGTTGTGGAGCTACGAAGCGTGTGAGCAGAGTGGCGGGCAATAATGAAGCCAGCCACAAAACACAAGCCTCGCAATCAGTCCCAACTCGCAACTACCAATTGTACTTGCCCATGCACTGAGAGAAATCAAATCGAATGCAAATTCTTATATAAGATACCGTTTAAGTACAATTTTGATTTACATTTAAGGGTTTTTTTGACTAAAACATCAAGAATTCAAAGTTAATGTTTTACTCATTCTTCAACTATTTAATTGCTTTTGGAAATGTAATTATTTGATTTTTGAACTTTTCAAACAATACTTTTTAAAATCGGATCATACACTTTTTCTCGCCGTGCAGCTACGTGCGTGAGTGTTGGTTTCAAGTTCAATTCCATAATTTCAGCTCCATGGTCAGCGAAGAAGGGCGGAGATCGAATGGGGGGCGTGGGGCTTGGTCGTGGAACCCAAGGCGAATGTCAAGTGCTGAATGCAAATTCCCTGGTCTTGCGGGCCTCCTTCCAAAAAGGTGAATAACCAAAACCGAGTACCCGACATGTGTGTGTGTGTCGTGTGTGTGTGAGCTTCCTCACAGATACACTCGTACCCCTAATTTGGCCTCAGTTAAATCGATGGCTGATTGTTGTCAGGGGGAATTGCCCCTCTAGATCAGGCACTAGTTTCCACTCACCTGTGTTGTAGTAGTCGTAGTCGTCGTCGTACTCCCCGTCGTTGTCCGATTCCATATCCATTTCGATGTCCGAGTCCATTCCGGCGGATTGGCGCTTGAGATTTGGGCCTCAGATTCGGGATGTTTGGTTGGGAGTTCGAGTTTCTGGCGAGGACACTCTTCGCTTGCGTGTGTGTGTGTGTGTGCCTGTGATTATGTATGAGTGCGGGGTGTCTTCTCTCTTGCTCTTTTGTAACAGTTGTTGCAAGGGCGCTGGTGGTTGCTGTTGTTGTTTTCCCAGGAGGTGGATGAAGGACCAAGGAAGAGGGAGGGGTGGTGGATGCGGATAATGGAAAGTGGCCGATTTAGCGCGATGCAGTGCCACCGATTCTGGGTAGGGTGATGAACTTTGCGGGGTGGCTATTCTTCGGCGGGGGGCGGTCCCTTGTTTTATTTTCGTTTATCCACATGCATGTGTACACACACACACGAGCGCACTCTCGCTCTCACGCACACACACTCGCACAGCCGTTGCACTCAACTCAAGGTGTTTCTCCTATTTCGCCTGCAGTTTATTTTCATTTTTCGCTATTTATAGAACAATATTATGCACCACTGACAATGCACAAAATGCACTGACTTTCTGCGTTTTTATACGAGCACAGCTTTTGCAGAGAACATTTTGTTCTTTGTCTTGTCCGAACCTATCGGGGCCTATCGTTCTTCGATAGTTCGATGTTCCAAAAGTCTTCTTCTTGAAGTGCGACCATAAAGCAATCGAATTATATACCAAAAAGATACCAACAACTGAATTAATTTATGTTTTTATTTCTCTTTATAAACTTTTTTCTTCGCATGTTGAAGGGAAGCTATTATTATTCACAAAAGTGGGCCTTTTGCTTCAAAGGCCAATTTTTTTGAAAAGTACAATTTTTAAAAATCAAATATTATAAAAATACTGATAAAACTGACTCACGAATTGTGCCAAAAGCCCCTATCGATATATTTTAAGACCGGGGCTGTTAAGAAACAAACAGCTGTTCAGCTTTGGGCGCCTTACTTTGAATTTTGAATATGATCTAAATTAATTTTTGGTCGCCTTATCCCTTTACTTGCCCGACTTTACCGAGATGCATAAATACTCCATAAGAGGAGCAAGACTGGACAGAAAAGCATCTGGAACGAGTTTCATTTTCTTCTCATTTCCGTCTTTTTTAATTTTCTCGGCTTCTTCCAAAGCTCCGCTATCGCAGCCCACCAATAATGATTGGAAACCACATATACTTGCAAATAAAATGTCCGTTCTTAGCCTAAAGAAAAGAAAAAATTTGATCATCAGTCAAACTAGTCCGCGCACTTACGAGTTTCCAATGACAAGCGTCTTTTCCGGCTTCATTTCGCCAGACTTCATTAAATTGCCTAAAATTCGGGGATTTGGTTTGCCCAAAACGGTAGGCTTCCGTAGTACAATTATCTCGATGGCATTAGCTAAAGATCCAGCATCTGGGATCCTCTTTTTTCCAAATGGCTGGAATCCATCTATGCCAGTGGTAAGGAACAAGACTTTGGGACTTTGAAGATAGTTGCAGGCCACAAGCAACTCGTTCGCTTTCATGTTGTCGTCTCTGGCCACCAAAACAGCTCCTACATCCGGATCGAGAACTAAGGTCCTGACGAAATCGATTTTTTCCTGGTCATTTGGCTCTAGATCGTTCACCACGGAACAGAAGCCCGCCTCTTCCAGATCTTTGCGGATGCCGTCCCCACCCAATACGAGGACCTTTTTCTTGAACTTTCGGTCGCTAAGGTAGCTCGATACGGCACCCGATGAACTGAGGATGTCCTGCTCCTTGACATTGAAGCCCAGGCCCTTGGCCTTGTGAAACAGATCCTTGTTTGTGAGACAGCTCTCGTTGGTGGCTATGAGGCACCGCTTTCCCTTTGAAATGATGGCATTGAACGCCTCTACGGACCCCTCAATGAGGACATTCTCCTGCCACAGGACCCCATCCGTTCTGCATATAATGGTGTCGATCCCGGCCAGCCATTCGGCCACCTTCGCCTTCGGAAGCTTGTCCAGATGGCTTAGACTGCGCCTAAACATAATATAATTTTGGCTTAATTTAGAATGCGAAATATTAAAATTTTCAGTTATTTATGACATTATGTGCAAAGCTTGAAAGTTCCATATTTATCGTAAAAGAGGCAGAAGAATGCAGAACTTAATTTGGCAAAACTAAACTGATAATAAATTAGTTTTTATCCTAAAAAATCTTCTGCCACAAGATGTGGTCGAAAATGCCTCCCATAGTGAAAACGCAAAAGCGGCTACACGTTCTCCTAAGATTAGGATCATAGTATATAACCCCAAACGTGACTGAAGTGGTTCAGAATGCTGGGTAAATTCTTTGCACAGGTGAGTTTACTATTTTGGGGATCATGAGCTAGACAAATGGGCAACGCATTTGAGCTTTTGACGTAACAAAGGTCGAATCATAGATATTAAAGAATCGAGAGATACGGTTTTTAATAAGTTTTAGATTAAGGAAAAATGGTTATGTTAGTGGAGTAGCTTATACCGTTTCTCAGCCTGGTTACAAAACAGACAGAGCTGATTCTATGAAAGATACGACAATCCAGCCGAGATATGCCCAGAGGCCCATAAACCTAAATTTAGGCAACTTTGTCTGGAGCACCGTAATCCACCTCACACGGATTTTGGCAAGCTATAAAAGTCCGTACCGTATGGCAAGATCGGTGTAGTTGGTGATATTTCGTCAGCAGCACAGCAATTAGAGATGGGCTCCTCCCAGCAGCAGTTAGTGCTCCCGATCCTGCTGCTTCTGGCCTTGGCCGGAACAGCACTAAGTGGAGTACAGGAGGTGCACGACGTTTTGGAGTTGACAGGACGGGCGGCGAATAAGCTAAGGTTTTCCACGGATGTGGCTACCGACAAGTACACTCCACCGGAGGAGATGGATCCTCAGTTCTGGTATAATCTCGCCGACGAGGAGATCACCAAGAGGCTGCAACTACCACAGCCCAATTCCCAGAAGGCCAAGAACATCATTTTGTTCCTCGGAGATGGCATGCCACTCACCACCGTAGCAGCTGCTCGCATCTTGAAGGGACAACGCCAGGGGAAAACCGGTGAGGAGTCCTCCCTGAGCTTCGAGAAGTTCCCCTACACCGGATTGAGCAGGGTGAGTTGTGGTTGACTAACTCTCTGCTAAGCCAAGCAAACGAAACATTATCCTTGCAGACCTACTGCACCAACGCCCAAGTGCCCGACTCAGCCTGCACTGCCACCGCGTATTTGTGCGGCGTGAAAACCAACATCATTAATATCGGAGTAAGTGCAGCCGTGAACTTCAATAACTGCACCGCCAGCCAGGATCCGGCTAACCGTCTGACCTCCATCGCCGAGTGGGCCCAGAATGCCGGCAAGTCCACGGGTATTGTATCCACCACCACCCTGACCCACGCCAGTCCATCTGGAGCATATGCCAAGACGGCCAATCGCATGTGGGAGTGCGACACGGATGTGACCAGCTATGGAGTGGATGCCAGCACCTGCGTCGACATGGCCACCCAGCTGGTGACCCAGACGCCCGGCAAGAACTTCGAGGTCATGCTCGGCGGCGGAATGGGCAAGTTTCTTCCCAGTTCCATCGTTGATTCGCACGGAAACCCTGGTGAGCGATCCGACGGAGTGAACCTGCTTTCCCGATGGCAGGCACGCCACAATGGAGGCGTCTTGGTCACCAATCGCAATCAGCTGCTTCGTCTGAACGTTTCGGCAGTGTCCAGCATCATTGGTCTCTTCCAGTCCAGTTTAATGAACTTCCACTTGGAGGCTGATGATACCTACCAGCCCACCCTCTCCGAACTCACGGAGGTGACCATCAAAAAGCTCAGCCAGAACAAGAACGGCTACTTTGCGTTCATCGAAGGTGGGTTTTTCTCGAAATGATCTTCTCATGCAGCATATATAATCCGAAATATTTGTAGGTGGCCTCATTGACTATGGCAACCACTACACTAAAGCTGGCTATGCTTTGGATGAGGCCTTGGAGTTCGAGAAGGCCATTCAGTTGGCTCGTGACATGACGGACATCGAGGACACTTTGATTGTGGTGACCGCTGATCACGGACACGCCGTCAGCATAGCCGGTTATCCTGGCAGGGGAACACCCATCCTGGGCATCAATCAACATGACACCGACGTTAACGGAGTGAAGTACTCGGTGCTCAACTATGCGGCTGGACCCAATCAGTATCTGGATGAGAACGGCCAGCGCATTCCTCTGGACGGCATCCTTGGCTCGGACGATGCCATCACCCCCAGCTACATTCCCATGGAACAGGGCGTGCACTCCGGCGAGGACGTGGGCATATTCGCCTCCGGTCCGCAGAGTCACCTCTTCACCGGCATCATGCAGCAGAGCACCATTCCCCATCTGATGGCCTATGCGGCGTGCATTGGCAGCGGGAAGCAGGTGTGCGACAACTGAGGTGGAAATGTGGCAGATGTGGCACTAGGTGCACAGCCAAGGGCAGATTTGTTTTTTAAATCCTCAACTACTTGTTTCTATAATAAATATTTACCAAGCAATTTAATATATATATATTTGTTTAAGATGTTAGAATGAAAAAGGATTTTAAGCTATTGCCAATGAAAACATAGATACTTTACACCGCAGTTTACCCTTGAGATCGTTTTGGGTGTCGGTTAAAACATTAAAATATGGCGAATGTTGCCTAAGGCTTTTGAACTGGTAGCCAGTCAAGTCTGATGGCTGAATTACCCCTTATAATCATAAACCTTAAGTACGTAAACATTGCTTAAATATAAGCTGAGATCTTATGGAGCAATCAGTGGGCTATATAAATACGCCTACAAATAGACGGCACTTAAGATAAAATTTATCTAATATGGGTCCACATAGAGACGCTAGTAGAACGGTGGTAACAGCTAAATCTCTTGATGAAATCGGAACTATATCGAATGTTCCATGAACTGGTAACAAGGGGGGTTTTTTATTATTATATTGCTGGCTGTAGGCTGACTGGGTTCCGGGCTGTGGGATCTGGGATCTGGGATCTAGATTCAACAAATCTAGAACACCCATTTACTCCACGAGTTACGGATGTAAAACTGCAAGCGTATGAACAACAATTAAGTCACGCGACTCAATTAGGCGCAGGAGACTTGAATAACGGCCAATATCTTTACGACCGCAAACGTGACCGAACTATTTCAGATAGCTGGAACAATCATTTGCGCAGGTGATCCCAGCACTTTAGTAATAAGCTTTTGATGGCAGCGGTTTTATAGAGGAATAGTAATGCAAGTTGCAGCTGATCTTCCTAGAAGTCGGGAGTACCAACAGAGATAAGTTAGGAATAAACCTAATTTTAGGTTACCCTTGTTTTGAATGCAATAATCCGGGCAGTGCATATAAGACCTGGAAACTAGCCAGGTGCGGTGTAGTTAGTTCGGTATCACTGCAGTTGTAAGATGCATTCCTCCCAGAGGCAGTGGCTTCATCCGATCCTTCTGTTCCTGCTGGCCTCTGTTGGAACCGCACTCAGCAGAGTCCAGGAGGTGCACAATGTGCTGGAGCTGACGGGCCAGAAGGCCAACCAGCTGAGGTTCGGCACGGACATAGCCACCGGCAAATATACTCCGCCGGAGGAGATGGATCCTCAGTTCTGGTATAAGCTCGCCGACGAGGAGATCGCCAGAAGGCTTCTGCTACCGCAGCCCAACTCCATCAAGGCCAAAAACGTGATCATGTTCCTTGGCGATGGCATGCCACTCAGCACGGTCACAGCTGCTCGCATCCTGAAAGGGCAACGCCAAAACAAAACCGGAGAGGAGTCCTCCCTGAGCTTCGAGAAGTTCCCCTATTCCGGACTGAGCAGAGTGAGTCTTTGTAACTTTTATCAGTAACTTTTATCTTTATCATGGTGAAGTTCAAAGCGTGTGCCTGGACCATAAAATCCACATAAATAAAGTAAATAAGAATACTATCTTCACAGACCTACTGCGCCAACGCCCAAGTGCCCGACTCAGCCTGCACTGCCACCGCGTATTTGTGCGGCGTGAAAACCAACATCATTAATATCGGAGTAAGTGCAGCAGTAAACTTTAACAACTGCACCGCCAGCCAGGATCCCGCCAACCGCCTGACCTCCATTGCGGAATGGTCCCAGAATGCCGGCAAGTCCACGGGATTTGTGACCACCACCACACTGACCCATGCCAGTCCATCTGGAGCGTATGCCAAGACGGCCAATCGCATGTGGCAGAGCGACACGGATGTGACCAGCTATGGAGTGGATGCCAGCACCTGCGTCGACATGGCCACCCAGCTGGTGACCCAGACGCCCGGCAAGAACTTCGAGGTCATGTTCGGCGGCGGAATGGGCAAGTTTCTTCCCAAAACCATGAAGGATAGTCACGGGAAGGCGGGAGAGCGATCCGATGGGGTGAATCTGCTCTCCCGGTGGCAGGGGCTCCACGATAAAGGTGTCTTGGTCACCAATCGCAAGCAGCTGCTCAACCTAGACGTTTCGACTGCCTCCAGCATAATTGGTACCTTCCAATCGGGCTTGATGGACTTTCACATGGACGCTGATCCCACCTATCAGCCCACTCTCTCGGAACTCACCGAGGTGGCTATCAAGAAGCTCAGCCATAATAAAAACGGATACTTTGTGTTCATAGAGGGTAGGTTCTTCCTTACAAATACATAGCTCTGGAATATATTACTACCAGTTGGAATGCCTTTTAGGTGGTCTCATCGACTATGGCAACCACTACACCCAGCCGGGCTACGCCTTGGATGAGGCCTTGGAGTTCGAGAAAGCCATTCAGCTGGCGCGTGACATGACCAACATCAGTGAGACGTTGATTGTGGTGACCGCTGATCACGGACACGCCGTCAGCATAGCCGGATATCCTGGCAGGGGAACACCCATCCTGGGCATCAATCAACATGACACCGACATCAACGGAGTGAAGTACTCGGTGCTCAACTACGCGGCTGGACCCAATCAGTATCTGGATGAGAACGGCCAGCGCATTCCTCTGGACGATATCCTGGGCCCCGACGACGCCATAGCACCCAGCTACATCGCCAAGGAGATCGGAGTGCACTCTGGGGAG